ACAATTTTTCATAGAATGAGTTTCGCCGTACTTATATAACTACATGATCATTAAATATGATACGTACGACGTCCATTAATAATTAAATAGATTTGAATGACTATAAAAGTTACTACAATTCATAAGTAAGAAAAAAAACAAAAAAAAAAAAAAACAAAAAAAGAAAAGAAACGAAAAAAAAAGTACGAATTAGTTATCTATACCTATCCACGTCGTTTTAATTATTTCATTAAACAAACGTAAGTATTTAAATGTAAAGAAAAAAAAGAAAAAAAAAAAAGAAAAAGAAAAAAAAAGAATATTTATATTCAATCCTAATGCCACAATATTTTTATACGATCAACGTGCCCGTACCTACCAATTACGAAGATAATATTTATTCCGTACGGCCGAGCGAAAGTTGATGAAAGATTTATGAACAGATTAAATACGTAAGAACGATTAAAATTCAATAGATTATAATATTCCATAAACGACTAATTTTATAATCCTGACAAGGAATAAATTATCTCTTAAGACGAATCCCGTTTGATAGTGGGGGATGGGGGAAGGCGAGGCGAAGCGGCAGGGTAGGAAAGGCCGAGGGAGGGGGAGCAGGGGGAAACCATTTGACATAAATATCGAAGATCCATCGAGATTCTTTGGCGGGAAAAGAAACGAGGGATCCACGTTCGATTATACTAGTGGAATCCACGCATTCCATGCATAGCTCGGTTCCTCTCTATTCGACTCTTCGATACTTCCTCTCGCGAGAATCGAGTTTCTTTGGTTCTGCGTGTGTGTGTGTATGCGTGTGTGCGCGAACGCGCGCGCGCAACACACACAACGTTTACACGCCTACGTCGCTTGGCGTTCGACGACATATTTCCGTCTCTCCATTTATTATTACGAGGAGAGGCACGCGGTTACTCCTTAACGGAGTAAACGCGCTGCGCTCGCGTTATTTCGAGTTATAGGAACGGCTAAGAACGAACGAAGGAACATACGTATGCACGTACGAAAGAACGAACGAAAAGGAACGGGAACGTTTTTTATTTTGAGAAGAAAAAGAGATAAAATAAGGTCGATCTTAACTCGAACAATTTTATTTTCCTCGTGGAGATATTCGCGGAGGTGGACCGTAACGTTCGAGAGTTTACGTTCCGACGACACCGAGAATCGGCCAGTTCTCTTGCCAAAAGAGATCAAGCTCTCTCTCTCTCTCTCTCTTTCTCAAGAGAGAGAAAACGAATTAGGACGAGGCCGCGAAACAAATTCGAAAGAGAGAGAGAGAGAGAGAGAGAGAGAGAGAGAAATCGGTACACGACCACAGAGCCTATATTTGTCCGTGATCTCGTTAGTTCGCCAACTTTGTCTTTCCTATCTCGGAAAAGGGTTTTTCAATCGAGAGAGAGAGAGAGAGAGAGAGAGAGAGAGAGAGAGAGGGCGAAGAGGAATTCTCTCACTCTCGGGTTCCGCTTTTTCATCGGTCGCACGTCATAGACTCACCCTCCAGGCGACCCCTACGATGGTGGCTCGCTCACGGCGTGGCACCCTTTTCCGTGAGTGTAGCGTAATGTAAGGGTTGCGTCCACGTTGGCGTTTGGGGTGAGAGAGTTTAAAACCCCTCGGGACTTGAGGTCCGGGCCAGTTAGATTTATCGGATGTTTTGGTTGGCGGCCATTGTTAGCCATCCTCTCTCTCTCTCTCTCTCTCTCTCTCTCTCTCCCTCTCTCTCTCTTCTACCAGCCTTTCGTTCGTCTCTCTTTCTACGTTCTACTCGTCGACGCATTGGCGTAGCATTCGAGATCGTTCTGAAGGAAAGTTTTTTTTTCTCTCTCTCCCTCCCTCTCTCTCTTTCTCTCTATCTTTCTTACTTACTTTCTTTCTTTCTTTTTTTCTTTCTTTCTTCTTTCCTCTTTTTTTTTTCTTTCTTATTCTTTCTTACGACCGGACTTTCGGATATGACTCGACTCGAGAGATTGACGTCAATGATAACATAGGTCATCGTTTCTCGAGATATCGGCTAAGAGAAGTAGAGCTTTCCACGTCGTTTTTTTTTCTCCTCTGACTGCTTCCCCTTCCCCTCCTCAACCACACAATCCACCCTCCCTCCCTCCATTTTTCATCTTTACCAACGAGAACTGGTTGTTCTCGTTAATGAGGTTTCTTTTTTTCCTTTACTTCTTTTTTCTTTTTTTCTTTTCTTTTTTCTGTATTTTTTTTTTGTTCTCTTTTCCCTCCTCGATGGACGACGAGTCTACGATGAAGAAATCTTACGCAAGCGACGATTGCATTCGATTTATGAACCATCGTTTTACTTCTAACAAACATTTTATCATCTCTATATTCCAGATATGAATTTATCCACGTTCAGTTGGAATTCTTTTTATTCTTTTCTTTTTTCCTTTTTTGTTTCTTTTTTTTTTTTTTCTTTTTTTTTTACGTTGGCTTAGAATAATGCAATTGCGAAAATGTCTTTACTTGTATTCATCGTTAATGACAATAATAATAATAAGTT